GTTTTATTTAAATCTCAGTTTCGGTTTCATTATAGCTTGCAAAAAGTTCGATAAATTCTGGTTACATCTAATGAAAATGTCTCACACTGAAACTAGATCCACGTAAATTTGATACATTGATAAATAAATATTTTTGATAATTTTAAATAATATTTGTAGAATAAAATAAAAATAATTAAAAAATCATTAACACTAGTGGATTAAGTACAACGGTACTGAATTATTAATCATTAAGTGATTATTGCTTATTAAATAGAGATTTTTAATTCTAATCAATCATAAATTGCTGGAATTATTACAACAGGTTTCAATTACATTACGATTCTTGTAAAAAATATTCAAATAAATGCAGCATAACGTACATTATAATCTTTCATCACATCAATCTTTCATCAAAAAACAAAATTGAGAAATCTATAAAGATGCTATATTTCAGTTTAACGAGTTTATTCATATGATCGAAGGCATGAATGAATATGATTTCCGTGAAATATCAAAAGAGTTATTTACGATTCATTTTAAATAGAGAATTAGATTTTTTTACAATAAATATAAATACACTTAAGAATACGTTTAGGTATTTAAAGAACTTTCGAATCAATAAAATTTAAATCTTACCTAATAGTTAAAGAGATGGAGAAAATATAATAATTGACCATACACTTTTTGAAATTGACATTTTATCATTACGTTATTCCTGCGTATTGTTTCCAGATAGTTACTTTTACAAGTTTTCCGAATTTCCACAAGATGAGAGCATACACAGAAGCATTTTATAGCCGATATAAAAATTAAGAAAATCTTCATTAAAACCAATCTCTTGAACAATTTGAAAGTGTGGCTTATCATTTTATTGCTCCTAATCCTTCAATGAAACTTATGGTTTGACATAAAGTTGTTTTGAGTTGTTAAAGCTTTTTGCATTATATTTTAATAACATTTTCGAATTCTAAATGGTTCAAATATAGTTCAAAAGTCTAATTGGAAAGTCAAATTTATCAAAGTTAATGAATCTATAAAAGGTCAATTTGATTGTCAATTTATTATAAAAAAACTTTCAAACGTTAAAATTCTAATGCTATAAATTTTTTTTGTGTTCTAATATGTTAATAGTTTAGGAACATTTAAGTTTTAAAAGTTTAATTTTAAAAAATATTAACAATTACGCTGCATTTTTTATATAAATATTTTTACTTAAAAGGTATTTATGATTATCATTGGTGCTCAAGAAAAAAATACGATTGTAATTCTTACATAATTGTCTGAAACTCCCCTATAGAATTTATAGAACTAAAAAGCTAGCTTAACAATTATTATAAAAAAATTTTAAAATAAATTTTTTTTTTATTTAAAAATTTATCATTTTTTGAAAAAATAGCAATAAACTGCTAATTGGGTACCTGCAAGCGACGTTATGCCTGGGTAAATCATAAATTTTTTTTTGCTCCGACTCAGCTACCAATGAGATTCGACACACATGCCTGACGTCACTTGGCGGTATCCAATTAAATCTAATGCAAAAATTGATCCATCGTGTTAATAAACGAAGCCTAATTGAGATGCTCAAGCCAGAGGCTGAACTATATCACTGAGTGGAATAAATGAACCAATTGTCATTTGCACCATTCCTATTGAATGTTCTGGATTCACATCCTAATGAAATGTATTCATATTGGTTGCAATCTGTAACTGACTGATCATTGATGAATTACCAGTGAACAGGTAAGGGGTGTGACATCAGATAAGGCATCTCTATAGCTGAAATGTTAACAAGCCTTGCACAACCACGTGATTTCAAAGCTTTTATTCTTTTATAGTTATTGTCACCCAGTTATAATTTCAAATAATTTTAAAGCTTTGATTCAAAATGACTAAAACCAGAAGCAAATTTCAGAGAAACCATAAATCATTTATAAAATCGCTACTGTCATTCGTTAACTAAAGTCTAAAAGTAATGTATGATTTTTTTTTTTATCGATTCTTTGTATTCCTCCTGCAAAGCACAATATATGTTGCTTTTCCAACATTATTTTCATTACAGAAACCTAAATGTGATACAAATGTGATATTCCAATTGAAGATCACTTTCAACTGATCTCAATTATTATAAAAACAAGCATATTTGTTTTTGGAATTATAAGAACTAGAAAATTGCTGATCAAGTTTTCTTGTCTGACAGTGGTTATTTATCTCAACAATGGCATCATCAATAAAACAACATTTGTAAAACTAGATCACTAATGTAGCCTTCAACATGCAGTAGAAATTATTACATATACCAATAAATATCTGGTGATTTATTATAGAACTAACAAAGCTCAGATATACAGTTTACCGAATCCATCACATAGGTAGTACACAAATGTGTGTCAGAATATAGCGCCATTTTTCATTTTCTTCTCTTTTTCAGAGAAAGTTCACACATATTTTGAAAATCAAATAACGTTTTAAAACACAAAATGATGGACAAAAAATGTTGATATTATATCCAAACTATTTATTTGCATTTCCCTCAAAAAAATATGCTAAAAAATTTGAACAATGGAGCATTGCGTAAAGTAGAAATCGTATTATGAAACTAAAAGCACAGGTATAGGGGTTAAAAATAGAAATCATTTTTAATCAGAGACTAGGGTCTAAAATTTAAAATTATAAAGCTTAGCGTTGATAATCAGTTATTAAAAAAGCTTTTTAAATTTTGTAAAAAAATGATTCATTGTTTAGAGCATTTTTAAAATATGAAAATTTGAATAAATAGAATTAATTATTCTATATATTAACATAATGGCGTATGAAATGAATTCGAAATTTTACTTTACAAAACTATCATAAAACGCCTTTTTTTTTAAGATAGAATTTATATTTTGAGGTAAACAATTCAAAAAGTATTGATAAAAACCAATTTAAATGTTCTAAAATATATTTTGTTCAGTGTTAACAACAAAATGATTTTTATTGAAACTAATTCTGAATAGTTTCTAAAATGTATCACAATTTTTCTTAAATCAGGCATCAAAATTTTTATTCTCAAATATTAAATGTTTGCTAATATTAAATATTTATTTCTCAACCAGAAAATGCTAGATAATTTAGACAATCTAACATTCACACTTTATTCCTTGACTGTTTAGTATTTTTTATTTTTATTTATTTACTTATTTATTTTTTTTTTAGTTATTCAAAGAATAATAAAGAAATTTAAGTGAGAAAAAAGAGAAATTTTTTAAGTAGTATCATTAAGAATTCACAATTCAATTATTTTACTTTAACAACTAATATTTTTGATAAACCTAAATAAACGGAATTATAATTTATTAATTACTATGTTTATTTTACTTTTAGGTTTTGTTAATATTCGGTACATAGTTTTCCACTATTTGCGAAAAATCATGTTGTATATTGCCATGTTTTGGTTCTGCCATGTTTCTGTTTGGTTGACGGCTTATTGCAGAAATACCGATTTTCTTAAAGTGGGTAATAATCACAAGTTAAATAGTTAACTCAAATGGGACAAACGTATTGGTAACGATTGAGAATTTTATAAAAAAATTATCTAAATAAAGACACATTTTCGATTGGTTTACTTTAACATATATTTTTTTGGAAAATGCAATTGTAAACTATTCCAGCTTTTTAACGTTCAGTAATATTAGTCAGAGATTAACAATAATTTATAAGTTTCCGAAATTAAAAATATACATTACTCGTTTTTAGTTTTTGTTTTATTTAATCGAATTGCACTGAAAACAAATAGCTAACTTATTTCTGAAAAGAAAATTTATGTAAAGTTGAAATTTCCTTTTTTCCTTATTTTCATAAAACAGGATTTTCCATCTGCTTATGTGATATTTTTAATATTGTTTACATATTGCTCTGAAAATTTTAATACACAATTTTTTGACTAATATCTAACCTATGAGTAAACATTTTATGAAAATAGCATCTACTTGTTATTTGATTAATGAGCAATATGCTATTTTTTTCTTCATAAATTAAGTAAGGTATGAACATTTCATTGAATTGATTTAAAACGAAATATTTATTTTCATATTTTGCGTTTGTTATTTTTATTATAATGAAAAACTGCAATTATTTTGTAATGTAATTGTAAAAATAGGAAGAAAAAAACAAAAATTATCGTAATTTGTAGTATGATCTCAGACACAGTTAATATTTAAATAGTTTTAATTTGATTCTAATATGATTTTAAGATAAATGATAATACGAAATTTTAATTAAAAATTTAGCCAAATTTATTTCGATTTTTGTTATTTTTATACAGGCGTAAATAATACAGTTAGAGAATTGTGAGTAGTAACAATTTATATCCATTCAGTAAATGAGGTATTTAAATGAGATATCGATATTTTATTTTCATAACTACTTCAGTAAAGAGCGCATTTAAGTTTTGAAAATCAGAAGAAATTTTAAACCTTACTTCAATATTTTATTTAAATCAATTCTTTACTAAATAACACATTTTTATTCTGAAAATCAGATAAAGCGTTAAACCTTATTTTAACATTTTGTTTGGGTAAATACTTCAGTAAATAGAGTATTTAAATTCTAAAAATCAAATAGAATTTTAAACCTTACTTTTTATTGAAACATTTCACACTGTGTGATTCAAATAAATTCAAATTATTGAAAAAAAAAAGCTATTTAGTTTGCGATTTCAATTAAATATTAGAAATTTAACTTTAAAATATAGAAGAGATACGTCTTTTAACTCATAATATGCTTTTTAGAAAAAAATGGAGGTAACTGACAATTTTTTCGAAATTGAATTATGATAAAATTTGATACTCTCCCAGCATGTATTTTAAAGTAACAAATCAAGGTTATTTACTGTAGTTATACTAGAACAACGGGATTCCATGGGAACTTTGAATTCCTTGAGAATTTCCCGGGATTTCGTTAAAAGTTATCAATTCTTTAGTTCACAAGTATTTTTCAATAAAAATAAAATCCAATAAACTCTACAGTGTTTTCTTTTTCAATTTTCTAACCAACTTCATAATAAATACAATTTTTAAAGCTTTTAACAACAGGTTTGAATTTACTGATTGTTTTTTGTTTCAGTACAAAATACTATTCAGAAAAATATAATATTATGTCTGATTTCTTCCATTTCAACTTATTGGTAATTTTATTTTTTGTAAAATGCAATGCATAAATTACACTTGTTTAGTTGCATTTTGTGATAAGCAAACTATAAACAAAGAACTTTTTTTTAAAAATAAACAATAATCTTAAAGATGCAAAGGAAATAACTTTTACATTTAACAACCAAATGAAATTGCAAACAAACTTGAAAACTGTCAGCTACGATTTTTTTCTTCTAAAATACCATAGATGCTATAGATATATCTATATTCAGAATGCATATTACATGACACATCCTTGTATTTTTCAACGGTTACAATTAACATATTTTAAAAAATTTTCAGATTGATTTAAGAAGTTAATTTAAAACAATGTACTCGTATTAATGAATTACCCACAATGCACAAAGACGTATATACTTCATTAAAACCTGAGCCAAACTCACTAAAATAATACAAATGTCATAAAATACTTGAAATTAACTCCTTAAATTGAACAAGCATATTGGGATTAAAAATTACAATATTTAATACAAATAAATATATTATGATTAGTTAAGGAAAAAATGATCAAATATACACTTCTGACACCTTTCCTTACGGCGCAACTCTTTGACACCACATATACATTTAACAAAAATAAAAATAAAAATATTTAACAACATATTTCTTAACCATCAGATTTGGACCTTTTGTCTGAATTCCGTCTGAAAGAAACCTTTTTCTCTGAATTCGTCATCGATCCTTTTAAGAAAGTTTCGATGGCATCCCCGATAATGACCGCATCGACGACGTCACTCTCATCCCATTTCACTGTGGATAAACTACTTTCCAGAGAACTCAGCAGACATCCGGATGACTGATCAACAACTATTTCCGTATTCATGTTGATATTCTGTGCGTTCAAGCTATCTACACTTTGTATCGAGGAGTTATCTACATCAGAATTATTTTCGTTCGCTGGTTGTGGTGTCGTTTCATTATTCTCGAATGACGAATTGCTTTTGGTTCTGGACTCTTCGCTTCCAGCTCTTCGTACTGGCTCTTTTCTTGACTGCCTTTCGTCTGCTGGATCGAATGAGGCCGATTTGGTTTGTCTCAAGGGAGCCTGCCCTTTGCGTCGCTTGGATGGTGAAGCCAGAGGGAACTTTTTGCTTGCTGTGCAGAGAATCGCTTTGAGATCCTCCTTCCTGCAAACTATACCCAAACTTCCGGTTTTGGAGGTGGATCCTGGTTCAGATACAGACATGACCTTGCTAAATAGGAAAAGAAACTACATTAGTTTAAATTTAGTTTTAATGCAAATATATTATAATAAATTTGCTTCACTTATTTGTATTGTGTGCGCTGTACCGATATTTTAGTTATTGAATGTTAGTCTGAAACAGTTATCTTTCAAGAAAAGCCTAATTAGGAACAATATCGTTCACCTACAAACCATTATTGATCATTCGGTTGAAACTGTTTTCGTTCAAGAGCAGTCGAGGAGCAATAACGTTCACCTTCAAAAACATTATTGCTTATCAGGTAGAAACTTTTATCTTTCAAGAACAGTCAATCTCTGTATGAGCAATATCGTTTACCTGCAAAGCCTTATTGCTCATTAGGCTGAAACTGTGCAGTATATCTCTATAGCAGCAATAACGTTCATCTACAAAGCCCTGTAATTTTTATTTATTTTTAGGTGATAACGAAACGTATGCAAGGCAAGTATAGAGATATCTTATGATGCAAAAATCTTTTACGGTTAGCACAACAGTAGTTGGATTATGAACTGTGACTTGTCTACCTCTGGAGATATTTAATATGGTTAGCTCCAGTCGTAAGCATAATGAGAATCAACCAGAGATCTATTGACCAGAGAGCACCTCTATAAATGAGCATTACTTTTCGGCAACTCTTGAATACCTATAAACTTGGTGCTCAAGAACAGTAGTTTCTTCTTGGTTCCCAAGAGCAGTGGTTCCCTAATGATGCTCTGAGGAAGTCTAGGGCTCCGTCGGAGGATCACGAGGGGTCCGAGAGTACGTAATCCATTAATTATTTAAAACTTTGTATATATGCAAAGAAAAAAGAATTATTAGTGCTCCTAATTTACAAGTTCCACCATCAGACCTAAAGCCGAATTGAAGGACTATTATTGATAAAGTGTTTTTTTTATTCTTTACACAAAATGCTTTCAAAACATAATTTAGTAGTTTTACTTTGGCAACTTTACTTAAAAACTTTATTCTTTCCATCATAGATAAATATTAAATATTTCTATTGACTAGAAAGTACTAACCTGAGAGGTCGAAAACTTCCAGGACTACGGGGACTGCGTACTTTAGAGTCTTCATCAATCATGATGACGTCATCATTTCCACAAGATGAGCGTTTCTTCAACTGGCCAGATTTCGATTTTCTGGGTTTTATCTGTTCCGGTTCTCCAGGATCAGAAGTGGAACCAGATGAGGTTAGAGACAATTTTTTGAGGCTGCGTAGGATTTCTCCAGAAGTCATAGATTTGCTGAAGAATTTTGAGGTTTTCCAGCCGCATTTGTTTGACTTCGAAGATTTGCTTGAAGTAGGGTTGCTTATTTGCTGTGGGCGTTGGCTTTCATCTGAGTCATGAGCTGAAAAAAATTTGCATGAAATCTAAGCCTATTATTGACTTATATTATTATAATTAAAATACCATCACTTGTTTTCAATAGTTGTTAAAGGTTTCTAATCAAAGCTGCAGGATTTTCCTTAAAAAACCTACTCTTAACGTAGTTTTTCGAAGTTCTGCCTTCAAGGAAAATTAAAAAAAACCACAGTTTAAGTGCCTTGCGCTTGAAGAAATACGATGATTTCAAACTATATTTACAATCGTGCCCTTGAAGAACCATCTGGGCTTTAGAACAAGCAAATAACTTTATATGAAAGTTATTAAACACCGCCATTTTGATGACATTTTTCCATCTAGAGGAAAATTACAGCCTTATTCTCAGTTTTTTCTAATTTTTATGAGCCCAGGTAATGCAGCATTGGAGTAAGTTTTTTAATATTAAAAAATTGGACCACAAGCGCTTTTCATTTTCGGAAACTGTGGCTTTTCTCAATATCGAAGTTTTGCGCCATTTTCAAAATAAGCGTAGACAGGTCTAGCTTTAGATAAGCTAAACTTGGCCAAACAGTCATGAATAACTGTTGCAAACTCATAGCAGTTATAAGAATAGAACGTTATTGGCGAAAAAGTACTATTTCATATTACAACACAGCCTTCGAAAAACAGCCTTAATGGACAACTAGTCAACTTTTCATTTTGTGATGTTGCTAAGTTAATTGTTAACCGAGGTTATAGCCAAAAACAAATCCGCTTCTGAAGATTGCGGTGACGTTTCTCACTTTCTTCAAAAAACACAAAGCAGAACTCGTTACGTTGTAGAACCGGTTGAACCTTTTTCCTGGCTTTTGGCGATCTTCTCAATATGAGGCAAATGTTTACATTGGAAACAAAACAGTTAAGGCCTGTTTACACGGTCCAATTTCTTGAATCCGAGAAGTTGGACGGATTTCTCTGTCCAAGAAATTGGATGATTCGTTGACACTATCCAAGTTCTTGAATGTCGCTGATTCGTTGAAAGAAAAACTTGTGCATGCGCATTGCTCATATTCAACATTATAAAATAATACTTACATAAGTTTAAAATTACTAAATAAATTCAAATAAAATCTTAATAACACAAATAAACCTCAACAGATCAATTTATTTGGACTAAAATCTATGAAAACCCACAACAAAATGACATAATTTGCTGCCAGCTTGTTGACGTCACAAAACCTAAGACGCTGATTGGTTAAGGGAGAAAAAACTTGGATGGAAAGTAGAACATGCTCTACTATCGTCCAAGAAGTTGGACCAAGTTCTTGGATGTTTGTTTACACGATCCAAGCTCAAAGCAAAACAAGTTTCCATCAATATCAATCAATCTCTGTCCAAGGATAAATGAATTCCCAGAATCGGAGTACATCTTTATTCTAGTAATACTTTATAAAGATTTGCTATTCCAGACTTTCTTAAAAGATTGGTAGCAATGTCTACCATTTTCTTTGTAAAACTATGATTTAGGATATCTTGGACTACTAGTTGTAATCTCAAAACTCCAACTGGCAGCCAACCGTTTCATTCCTCTGTTGTTGAAAGCAGGTCTGCCAACTACTACGCTTTAAATATTTCATAGGGTGCTAAACATTTAAGAGCCAAAACTTTCAATGTTGTTGGTAATTTTGCTAACATTTTCAAAGCCACACCGAGAAAGAGCTAGTTGTTGTTGTAGTTCATTTACGTCGCACTAGAGCTGCACAATGGGCTATTGGCGACGGTCTGGGAAACATTNACAATACTATGTCTTTGATGATAAAATACTATGTCTTTGATGATAATATATTATGTCTTTGTGCTAGAACATTGTGTTCATTGGCGAGCGAGCGCAGCGAGCCATGGTTCACGGCGTGAACCACATAGGATTGCGTAGCAATTCTCGGGGGTTGGCGAGCGTTAGCGAGCAGGGGGCGGAGCCTCCTAGTATTATAAATTATTTAATTAAATTTTAAAATTAATGAATAAATATTGTAATCCCAAATTAAACTTTATTTGCTTGTTTTGTTACCGAAATCTCGTGATGCATTTTTTAGCAACAGCTTTATCATTATTTTCAAACGTAATAAACATTTAAAATAACATTTCTAAGCTTTTCACTGTTAAAACGAGCATAAGATACATTTATGAAAAAAAGAAGAAATTTTTTTTAATCAAGTGGTCAATTTTTATCTATACGCTATCAACTAAAAAATACTGGATTATAATTCTTAAAAAGCTTTTCGCCCTCTAAATCGGGCATTGTTCATATAAACCAAGAGCCCCAGATCATTTTAACAAAATAAACTTAAAATTTTTTTCTGTCCCAAACCAATGTTTAAAATGTTTAACATGCGAATTCAAAATATTTACAGACTTTAAAGTTCGGAAGTTGAAATTTTTCTAAAATTTTTTTTTCCCGTTTAAAAAAGAAAAAAAATTCAGGATTCAAACATTAAACTCTCACAAAAATACAAACTTATACCACAAGTATAAATTTTAAAAGCAAATGTTTTTGAGAACAATTGTTTTGATTAAAAGACGAGAAATAAAAATTTTTCTAAGTAAAACGTTTTTAAAAGTTCTAGAAATGAAAAAAAAGAACCTCAGCTCACACAAAACACAAAAGCTCAGAAGCTATGTTTTTTTAAAAAATTTATTATTCTTAAAATAACACTAATCATCATTTTTAGCTCTTTATTGAAGAGGGTTGTATGGTTTGATAAAGAAATGCTCAATAAAGCTTATTTAAATTTAAAAAATATTTTTTGTGTAAAATGAAAATGGAACACATTCTAAAAATAAACCTTTTTTTACAGAATGAAAAAAAAAAAATGGTTGACCTGGTTGATCATATGCACCATATAAACAACCATCAAATGCACCAAAGAAAATATTGAAGTCACTATTTCTCAGGCTTAAAGATTATTTACAAAATTACATCTCCAGACTTATGAATGGGAAAATCAATAGTTTGGAAAAAAATATTATATGCGTAAAATAGTCTCAGACTTCTCATTTTGAGTTGAATTCTATGACGTAACATTTAAACCATTAAGATGGTAAAGAAAAGTCCAGAACTAATGATTTTATTCGTTTCTAGCTTCATTAATGTGAATAATTTTAAAATAATCGGTTATACAGTTTACATAAGTGCAGAACAATGTCTTAAATGTTCAATAATTATAAGTCTCAATTCTTAAACTCATAAGACAAACAAAACAAATTTGATACGCAAAAAGTAATGTAAAGTAAAATGCATCTTTCAAGTAAATTATAAATATTAACTTTTATAATATTATAAAATAATTTAATTTTTATCATCCCTAAATAAAAACGTAGAGCTCATCATTTCTGATGGACAAGGGAGGAATTTTCGGTGGTCATAAAAATTTATTACGAAAATGATGCGCCCTATATTTTGTGTTAGTTTTAGTTTTAAGTCTTTAATTCATTCAAAACTAAAGGCTTAAAACTGAAAATAATTTGAAATTAAATTTAACACAAAAGTTATGCTGTGGAACTAATTTCTTACGAAAAACTTCATGATAAATATATTTAGTTAGCGGTTCACAATTATTGAAAGATAAAAAATTATATACACTTTTGCAACAAATTTTATGCAAAAAAGTGTCCATTCAGCATATGCAATAAAAATAAAGAATATAAAATAAATATTTAAACTTGTAAAGCAATCTTTGGAATTAATTTTTTGCACTAATGCAAAATAATCTTTCAGGCGAAAACATTCAACAAGTTTTTATAGTAGCGAAAATTAATTGGAGTTCAAAAAATAAATATGTTGATGAAGTTGTTATGGTAACCGAAAAAAAATAATGAGATTTAAATTTTATTTTAATACAATCGGGAATTAAATCTAACCAACCAAATCTGTGCTAATACAATAAAAAGTTTGAGATTCTTTTAATTGAAACCTGGACCATATCTTGTTCGGATGAGGTTATGTTGGGCACCTTTGAGAGAAAGATCTTGAGAATTTTTTTTTCTCTTTTTTTTGAGGAATTTTAAAAAAATGGTGTGTGGCTTGCAAGAACAAACTTAGAGCTTTATCCCTCATATAATGAATCTGGCATTATTAACTTCATTAAACGACGAAGAATAAAATGGGCAGGCCACGTTATTAGAATGGATGAAGACCGTTCCACTAAAAGAGTATTCAATGCCAGACCAGTTGGCACTCGAAAAAGAGGCAGGCCGAAATTGAGAGGGATAGTTGTCCTAGAAAAAAAACTTTTTGGTCTTAAAAACTAAAAACTGGAAAATGCCATCAGGAAAAAGGTTAGCATAGAAAAAACTTCCACCCTGGGCTGTCGAGCCATTGATAAATTAAAGAATTTTTTTAAGTGTCGGTTAATTATTTCCCCTAATGACATGCTTGAACACTTAAAATTCGATTATTCCTTTTTTACAATTTTAGTTTCCTTTATGTACCCCCCATCGAACAATATCATCCATTTTCTATAGTGTACAACTTGTAACAGCTTTTTATTTTTAACGCTAATAAAGTTGCCTGTACAAACTTACCCGCTAAACATCTCAAGAATCCATAATATTAAGAAAGATTCATTAGAAGGTACGAAAGATTTTTCAAAGATACTTACATCGAGTTATTGCTGGTAGTATTCCTGGACAGCAACGACTCTGATTTCCCATGGTACTGGAATTCGAATCCGTTTGTTGGAGACACTCTTTATTGAAATAGGCGGACGTGTTTTCCACTTCAGAAGAAATAGTCGACACGGTCTGAGGTTCTTGGATACACGATGGCCCGCTCAGGACGCACGTTGGAGAGTTCGAGCACATAATTGCTTTTGGGGACAGTCTCTCTCTTGTTAAAAAGGATACAGCTTATGAAAATATATCTTTGTTTTTATCTTCATTTTTAGATTCCAATGCTAAAAAACAGAACAGAACGTGAGTCATTGGAGTCAAATTATCACTAACAGACTAATCAGAAACGTTAAGTATTTCATACCAATACTTTCTGAGAAAAGTTATAAATTGTCGATTATAGCTTAAAATTGTCGATTATAACTTTTCTCAGAACTTATCTCGCTTGGCTGTACTTATATCAATACTTTTTTAAACTTACCTTTTTTGCTTTGTAGGGGAAAAAACAAAAACTATTCAGCAATTGTATAAGTCACATTAAATATTTCTGTGGATCCGTGGGGGATATAGGGATAGAGAACTCGACTTCCAGTAAGGTTATCTAGGTTTTAATCGCAGCGATGACTGGTCGATACATATTCTGTCCACGGCTCGCGCCGACCACAGTGCTGACATAAAATATCCTCAGTGGTAGGCGTATCATGGTTTAAAATCCATTGACCATCGACCTAACCGTGAAACTATCGCTAAGGTTTCGTGTTTCTCCTCGCCATGTAATGCAAGTACGGCTGAGTTCCATCAAAATGTTCTCTATGAAGGCTAATTTGTCCCAATGCTAGATCCAGAAGTTACTCGTCTTCTGGGGCGTTTTCAAATTTACAAGGCTACAGAGTTGAGCACTGACAGTCGTAAACCCAAGAATAGGTCGGCTACTCAATACCGGTTAAAAAATAATTCCATATATTCAAGAATGAAATTTCCAATTATACATCTTTCAGTTGATGAAATTTTGTACAGCGAGAATGCTTTGTTTTGCATATTTTTAAGAAATATAGGTATAAAGTAGTCTTTTTGGAACAAAATTAAACAGCAAATTTCCTTTTTAAGATTGATTATTATCGTTGCCTTTATCGAAGACTATTTTTTTTTCAGTGTGAAGAAGTTTTGTAAACTCGTTGAAATAAAGCATAAAATTTAATTTTTGTTAAGAAAGCTGAACAACCCGTTGCGGAAGAAGAATTGAATAATATCATCGACCATACAATTTCTAATATTTGTTTCTGATATATGGACTGATATATGATACATGTTTTTAATATGGATGAATTTGTATGAAACATCATTAGAATCGATGTTTTGTTGAAAATCTTCTTGATTATGTAAATAAATGTCTTTTTTATAAAAACTTTTTTAAAAAAACTGACTTTTTATTTATAACATTAGGCACAGCATCCTCTCCTTTTGCAAAAGCAAGCATTTTACATGAATTTTCTTCAAATAAGATTACATGGAATATTCTGTAAGCCAATTTAACCAGCATGTAATCATCCCTTTTTCTATTTAGCAATTTAAAACATTTTCAGTCTAATTAGGCATCGTTAGAAAATTTTAGATATCTCAATTATTTATTTGTTTATTCATTTGTATATTATGTATTAACACCTTTTCTTTGACCTATATTATACTAATCTGATCACGATGGAAGTGAAGATTAAAACTTTAAAACTCTATTTTCCAAAAGTAATAAACCAATTGAAAAATTATAATTAATTAATTATTATTATTCAATATACTCAAACTTAATTAAGTTCTCCGAAAACTTATGAGACAGCATCCGAGTGTTGGCAAACGTAGCTTTTAATAAATTATTATTTATTTAGTATCATTTACACTGAATTCGCCACACATTAAAACTATTTTAAATTTTTGTCCCGCAGTGAACTGATCGTTAAGACACGGTTCCCAGCAGATCACCGCAGTCAAGCATCACTGGATGCGGCCAGTGTGTGGGTGGGTGACCACTTGGATCAGCCTGCGTAGGGACCGAGGGTGTGCGGTATTGGTCCTCGTTAAACTGTTCTACCGCAAAGTGCTCGACTTCGCGAGCAGGTCGTCGGGCTACCGAAGCGGGGGTGCCATCCCCTCCGCAGAGGATCAAAATTGCTATGGCATGTCTTAGGATCATCTTCAGGGATGTTTCCCAGACCATCGCCAATAGCCCATTGTGCTGCTCTAGTGTGATGTAAATGAACAACAACAACAATTTTAAATTTTTCGTGCTTTAATTTTAAAATTCAACGCAATCTCTCAATTTTCTTTTTCAAGACAATATGAATATAATTCACTTTAGCTTATCTTTTATATTACAAGAAAAAGAAGAAACAAATACACACATTTATATGTATCGAGCGTTTTCTGTTGTATTTTAACGAACGGTTATGGTTTAATTTTATATAGTTATACATACATTTATATCGACAATATATAAAGAAACAAAATTACTTATTTTAATGTGTCCAACCTCTCTGACTGTTATGACATGCACATGTTATAACAAAGACTTGCATTATGTTTCATAAGTTACATGTGTTATGTTTCATACTTGAATTATGTTTCATATACCGTGGCATTTTTTTAAAAAAAAACTTATGTTAACAAGTTCCAAGCTATGTTCAAAAGAAGTTCCTTATCAGTGTTGTAAATTCATAACATAAACTAAATCACTTCCAGAATCAAAGATAATAAAGATTCGGGGAGAAAGTAATAAAAACGTAAAAACAAAACCGTTTATTTTTATACGTTTTCTAGGAATTTTCTTAAATTCTTTCTTCTTCATAAAGATGCGCAGTAAAAAAAAGAGAGAGATTTTTTACCAGCAGGTTATTCTGTTATCTAGATAAAGTTTTACAAGTTCCTACTCTGAATTTTCTTATTCAAGCTTTCTTAAACCGTTTTTTTGTAAACTGTCAGGGATCTTTGTAATGATTAAAAATAAAAGGTTTTTTTTTCTACTTTTTTAAAAGGAAACTATACTCCCATTTATTTATTGACTAATGAAAGAATCCCATTTCTTTCCTGACTTATGAAAGCGTTTTACAAATCTTTTCAAAAACAAGACATTATGCACTTTAAAAAATTCTGGAATAAAGTACGGTAAAAAGTACCAGCTCTCAAAGTGCCGGGAATTTTCACCGTAAAAATCATTTAAATAAAATATGAAACAAAAAATATAACATATCTTAATTTTTACAGTAATAATAACCGTAAAATCACTGAATAACTGTAATTAAAAAAAATATTATTGTGACAAAAAATAACATATCTTAATTTTCTTAAATTATAAAAAAATATATACGATGTAATATTTTGGATTAACACTTGTATTTTACGGAAAAAATAGATTTTACAGATGACGCATCCAAAGTGCCGGTACTTTATACCGTAATTGAATCCTAAATTTTTTACAGTATGGCATACTTGGTTTACAAGTTCCATGTTATTTTTTTTTCAGATTTTTTAATTTTTTTTAACCTTGTTAGCAAATTTAATGGACAAATAATGGAATTTATTGAGAAATTTGTAAAAAGAAAACTACTATTATGAAACTGGGTTATTTTGTTGTTTGTTACTTGACTAATATAGCCGTTTTGATTGTGTTTCGAAAAGTACGACACCATTACTTTTGTATAGTTTCTAGAATTTAATTTATTGAAGATTTTCCTATGTTATGGAAAATGTTTGGAGCCTTCCTAATATAAATAAGAAATAGGAAGTGGTTTCTTAGAAAATTTCGCAGAGGAAATCTTATTTGTTATATCTCACTTGCCTCATTTATTTGGTGACTTATTGAGGTCCTTTTGACAACATTTACAAAATTATGGTATCAGGACTTTCGATTGTCTAGTAAATCTGATATGAATTCTTATTCCTCAGGTTAATGTGTTGAAAGTTATAATTCATTATTTTCTCGTTTAGAGTTTCGAGAAAATGCCATTTTTAGTAACTTACTCGTACAATTAAAGATCATATTTCAACCGATGATATTCACATTGCATTGAAATTTAAGCAACGCATTTTAAAATGAGCTCGCTTTCACACTATGCTAAATAAGTAACTGAAAGAAAAGTGCCTTTAATAGTTATTTGGTTTAAAACTTGACAATGGCTCACATATTCTTCTATTTCTTCTTATAAACGTAATATGACATTTTTAATTAAGACATTAATTATAGCATTTTAAAATAACACTGAAAAAAAGAATAATCTAAAATTAAATTGTAAACTGTTAAAAATTTCTCGCAAAATATGGCTAAATAACAATCTATTTAATTGTTTGTATAAATATGGTAAAATAAAAATTAAATAGATTGTTATTTTACCATATTTATACAAAAAATTCAAATAACTATAAATGAGATGGTAATGAAACTATTAACAGTGAGAAAAATCGTTTATTAACTATTTTTTTTACCTAAAACGGTTAAATAACAGGAATTTTATTGCACCAACTGAGTCCACCTAATGAATCAACTTAGTTCCTTGCAACTGCGTACATATTGAAAGCTAATCTGTCAATGATCTGTTCGAATCTCAGCGATGACACCTCCATTCCCTTTAACACACGTGAAGAATTTCCAGTGTCCTGCACTCTCTAATGCCCATTATCTAACGAGAAGCCTACCTCCTATGTCCAGTTAAATTTCCTTTTAACGGTTTTGAAACCATGGTAGCTGTAAATGGTTAAAAAACATTATAGCTTTGTAGTCATGATTTAATAACCATACTAGTTGCAAACGGTTTCAAAACCGTAAAGGTGAAAAATATTCTTTACCATAAACTTTATGGTTAATCGGATGAACAGACTGCTGCTGGTTATTTTACCATTATTTTAGAATGAAAATTCTAACAGTGTACTAAAATGAAAATACAGAGAGTATTCTAAGCTGTAAATTTTTCCAATGACAGCTGTTGTATATAAAAGTGATGATAAAATATTGAAATGTCTCTAGAAAATACCAAGTTTTGTTAATATTTAAAGAGTAAATATTTAAAAGAGAGTAAATATTTGAAGAAGAAATATTCATAATTATCTCGGTGTAATTCCGAAATGACGAGTGCAACCATCAAAATTTCATTTTGTACTTCTTCATAAAATTGTTAAAAAATATTTCAAATGATAAATCATTTATTTATTTGAAAGGAGTTAATTATGAATATTCAGTAGCTAATACTTTTTTAAAGTTTGAATTTAGTTTTATTTACTATTTCAATATATAGGACATCAATGAGGATAACAAAGACGCAAAAATAAAAATAAAATAAAGAAAACAATTTTGAGAAATAATGGGGTAGAAAACATTAAATAGTTTTTTCTTCTCAATTACATTTTCTAAATGTTATTACAGTATTATATTTTATACAAATATAATAAATAATGGTATTATAACGGTACATGCATAAATAATATTTCTAAATACGAAAATATGGTAAATACATAAATAATGTTTCTGAAAGACTTCTTCAAAATAAGGAAATAAAGTTTTAGCTTCACAACTAAAAATAAAACGTTTGAAAAAGCATCTATCATAATTTTAAGCAACTATGGTAGGATTTTTTACTGAAAGTCTGCTTCTTCAAAATTAATGAACAAAAAATAAAAAAATGAAAATAAAGAAGTAAAATACAGGCTTTACTACAGGAAGATAATTTTTTGCAAAAACTAATTAATATAATCTTTGACAAATATACTTATTTTTGCTGGAAGATTTCTTTAAAACAATGAAATAAAATATAGGCTTTACTACTAAAAAGTAAGTTGTTGCAAAAGCATCCGATATATATATATTTTTCAAAAAATCAATTCAGCCATTACAAATTATAAAAATTGCCCGCAAATATAACGAAACAAGTTGTTGTTAATATGGGCTAGTTTGGATGTATTGTTCTAATTTTTTCCAATCTTGACAATTTAAATGTGATTCAATTATTGTACGAAGAAAACTTTAGAAACTTATGATTCAAATGTGCAAAGTTTTGCTGCTAATATAACAAAAAAGATTTAGAGAACCATAACTCTCAACAGAGATTTTTTAAAGTGCATTTCATGAAAGATAATGGTGGACGGTCAAAATACCTTAACAAGATAAAAATAAAATAAATTCCCTCTCTTGTTTAACAATTGCAACAATAAGTTCATTAAATGCAACCAGTTTTTTACTTAAATAATACCATTTCGTTGGAGCATTGCATTAGAATATTGCATTTGTAATAAAACATTTGTGCTGTCATAACAGTTTGTAAACATGAAACCATATATTATTACTCAATACCTAATACCAAATAGAAACGAAAATATTTCCAAATACCTCAAAAAATATTTTCTTATATAATCAAAAAAATTAATATACAGTAAATACAGCCACTTTTTAAGGATTAATGTACTTATAAATTTAACTAATACTAGCTTATGCATTGAACGGATCATATGGTAAATGTTGTCAAAACATATTTATATAGTGTGTTTACATAGTTTCCATATACTATATGCCAATAAATGCAGTTACCTTAAACATATTAATAATTTTAAAAAAATAAAACTTACTGATTAATTAACCCCAATAAGGAATGCAGGTTATTCAGGAAAACAAACAATCAGGTAGCTACAAGTAGCTCTGTCTTCCACTTAAACTGTCACTAACGTTCTACACCAATGAATGAACACGAATTACAGCTGGCCCTGCAGATAATAAACAACCGTATTAAAATTTCTTCACGAATTGCGTATTCCGATTCTTTCCTTCAATCAGAAATAAAAATAAATAAATAAATAAATAACACATTAAAGCTAAATAAGGAATCTTCCATTTCGAGCAATACAGAGGACGGATGTATTCATACCTTACCTTCTTCCTCTGAAAGTTTATTTTCCTTTCTTAAAATGGAATTAATCCAAAATAATAAAACTCAGACGATATTTAGTTATCGTTTTCTGATTTAGAATTGGCAACTTTAAGTGCCGCAATCTAATATTTTGACGAGGAACAATTGTCAATATCGAGATCGCTTGGAGAAAAGGGATTTGTTCTCTATATTTTTAGCATCCACTGCACAACACCTCTTTCACCCACCGCTATAGATGAGAACAGACGAACCATAAACTCGTCCGTTTTCAGGGTTACCGCATCCCGAAAATTCCTCATCTTCGCCAAAAAGGAAGGGGTGGTGGATACTATGTGACGTCACCGACTGTTTACAGGTTGTTCTTCAAAAACACCCAGAAGTTTTCAAAAATGCAGTAATTTTTCGCAGATCTTAGCAAGAGTATTTATTGAAAAATTCATTAAAGAATTAGGTGCAATTAACTAAATCTAGGTAAGTGATAATTATTTGAGATAGTCAAATTATTGCTTTGAATAAATGTTATAGCATTATTGTTTAATTTTTTTTTTTTAAAAAAATCAAATTTTATACTGAAAGAGGATGCCGACAAAATTTTTTTTCATTGAGGATAATTCAAAAAATAATGAGCATGGGATTAAAAACATAAATAATTTTTACTTTTACATAAAAATAAGAAAGGAAGTTTAATTTTAATAAAGTTTCGGCTAAATATTATTTATTAGATTTGTAGTTTTAATTTATCAACTTTACTTTAGTACTAGTTACTAGAATTAAAATTATTAGAAATTTTTCACAAATAGTTTTATTTGTTAAGCTATCGATATGAATAATATTGATAAAACAGTACAAAATAAAATATTATACAGAAATCAAATATCTTATCATATAATTCACATACTTTAAATAATATCAATGGATATTTATTGGTTAAATAAACTAGCTATTAAGATAAATTTCTAAACTTAATTTAACTCATAAAACTTAAAATTTTTAAACTCGAAATTATAAGGCGATTTTAAATTAAAACTAAATTCGAGATAAAATTGTTAATACTAATAATAATAATAGCCTAGAGAACAAATTAGAGCTTGTTTGTTTTAAAAGTTTCTCATCAAAAGTTAGTATTTTTATGCTATTGGGAGGAAAATATGACAATTCGTCTTCAATTTAGATTAACCATATAATCAACAAATAAGGAAAATTTCCCCACTTAAATTTATCTTTTGTTCAACTATTATTACTTATTACCATTGTTTGTTATACAATAATTTCAGAAAAATTGAACTATATTTTAAACATTTTTTCATATTGATATATCATATTGATATGTTGGGTTATATTGAAATTCATCATAATTAAGTTATTAATTATCATAATTAATTATTTTTTTGTTAGTTATTCGAGTTCTTACGACATATAGTTTTTATTATGAAATAATACAATGCATAATATTGAAATCCAGGCTCGTAGTTCTGTTTTTCATATATGTTTTTGCTAATACTAACTTATTTTACCTATATCTCACTTTGATATACTGATTTTTAACAAACAACTACAAACGTTTATTTAAAAAAAAATTACATTTCAACAAATAAATTAACATAAATTATAGTTAATTATTATTATTGTTGTGTATGTTAATGCATTAATATAAAATACATTTCAACAAATAAAACATAATATTAGAATGCATGTTCGTAGTTTTTCGTTTATATTTTTGCTAACACTAACTTTTTATAACTATAGCTCAAATTAATATATTGATTTTAAACAAACAATTATAGACATTTACTTTAAAAAACTACATTTCAACAAATAAATTACTAAAAACAGAATAAAAAATGCTACGTGACCGCTCTAGCTTACTGAAGTTATGATGCTTAAGTAACTAAATGTCATACAATAAAGTTGAGTTTGTTAACTAGAACTAATCAGATTCATGCAATTAAATGTCTATTTTCAATTTCTCATGAATTTAAGAGTATATAAATTTTTCGTATAAAGTTATAATTCGTAAAATTATAATTGATCTAAAAAAGCTATAAAAGTTATATTTAAGGTCAATTTGATACTGACTCTCTCAGTATATTAGATGAGTTTCTTTAATCATTACAGAAATCACTAGAAATTTTTTTTGAAAATTTATATATTGAAAACGACTTAATTTGTTTTTAAATTTTTAGACATTTCATCTTTATTCATATAAATTTGTGTTTTAATTATGTATTTTATTGTGTTTTATTTTGAAGAGGTGTTCAAGACAGCGCTTCAAAACAGGATGCACTTTAAGTATTCTATATGCGTATAGATTCGTGATTTATTCTCCTTATTCTAGAGAACTTAAATAAGACTTCATTCTTTTTCAAAACTCTTTGATCTTATTTTTATTTCAATATTCCTTAAACAACTAGTACTTTTTAAAAATTAAATCAATTTTATTTTTCAATTTATATAAACTGGTGATTTTATCATTGAGCGAAAAAGTATGGTGTAAACTATCAGAATATAGTACAAATTTACCGCGTTCATGATTCTATTGAAACGAAAAAAATCTCGGTAATTTAAAGCTTTGCGTTTGGTAAAATTAAGAATAAAATATGCTTTTATAATCTGAGATAAAATTTGGTAATTGTGGCAATTTTATCATAATACCTTAAAGTATACCCTCTAATTTTGGGCTTTAATTTAACAACTACTGACCTGTAAAACGTAATTTAACCCTTTGACTGTCAGGGAAATGAGCAGTTTTCGTTTCATTAATTCGCACAGTATTACGTGCAAACAGTAGTCGAAAGTGGCATCTGTTTTCCACCTCCGTTCTTCCGAAAATGTCACTCTTCTCTGGCGATGCCAACTGCTCCGTCTTCTGGAATTGTTATAATAAAGTGGTAGCAAATTATGTAGTAAATTTCGTTGGAGAAGGACAGTTATACGCCTACTTTTTAATAGAGTAACCAGTAGATTGTTGCTTTAACGGTGCATTTTATATGTTACTTATAGTTTTTGATATTTAGTGGTGAAAAAATTACTTAAAAGGAGAAATGCTAAACTGAAAGTAACTTGACTTTCGCCAACACTAGGAAATACTATTTTACAAAGCGGGGCAAGTTGGCATCTCTGGATGCGGTAGATAGCTCGCCTCGCGTGTTTTAAAAATTTCTTAAAGTATTCGTAGTACATATGAATAACAGTTTTCACCTACTTTTCGTTTTTAACATAGTCAATGCAGAATAATAATGGCGAACGAGCTCAGCTCGTCAGCGCGCATTGGGGAAAAATTTCACTACGCGAGTTGTGCTCGTTACTAACCATTACGGTCAAAATCTTGCTCCCGGGCGGAACTCGCTTGCGCGCATTATGAGGCACGATTCGATTGCGAGCTGAACTTGTTCATAAGCGTCAAAGGGTTAAATTTCTCTGCGTCAATTTCATAAGCGTCGAAGGGTCTGTGAAACAATATACCCGTTTTAATCAAATTCATGCTTCTAGATTCTAGAAGTTTAAGCTTCATTGAGACAGGTAATTAATACCTATGTTATAAAAGGATTCATGTACATTATAAAATAATTAATTAATGTTTTAAAATTACTTTTTAATAATAGTATTTTAAGATGATTTGTTGATATTCTGTAATGAAAATGAATTCATTTCTATTTTCTATTATATTTTTAAAATGTCATAAACCTTTAAAAATACACTGTTTATTCTCCCCCCATTTTATTCGCATATTACAATGCTGATTTGTTAATGCAATAAACTAATTATTTTTTCCCTCTTTCTTTTACAAAAAAATTATAAAGCATATTTAAAAGAAAGTAAGATACAAAAAAGTTTGAAGATTTTAATTTGAAGATATTGTCTAAACTCTAGTTCAAATGTAATTAATGTTGATCTCATAGAGTTTGCTAATTCAAATAAATAAATGAAATGAAAAGTCATATTTTTTTTAAAAATTACACATTAAACAAAAAGTTCGTTATTATAAAATCCAATTAAATTGCAGCAACTTTTCATCAAATACAAATGTTTTAAAAATCAATTTATTTCATTTAAAAGGAAAGGGCGGTTTAGAGTTCTTATTTTAAGAATTCTCCATAATATTTTTCTTGTCTCTTATAGAAAGACTGTAGGCTGATCTAATATGCCAAATAAAAGGTTCTTGCCTCACACCAGAAAGAGGTTTGATCTATTATTTTACGGCATTTTCCCGACTTCTTTTTAAGTTCGTTTCCCAAGGCACTTTTCTCCCAGATTTTATCGATAAAAAGTTCCTCAATATTTTGACTTATAAATAACAAAATTCTTCGAAGAAAAAAAAAACTTTTCAAGCCTTTTTGCACATTAATTTTTTTTCTCTTTTTCTTTAAGCCCCCACAGCACAAATGATTCAAGAAATAAAGAAAAATAATAAATTTGCAACTTTTGCAATGTACAAAAAAATTTCAAAAGTTCTTAGAAACATTTTCATCAATTTTCTAAAATGCTTCCACTTTTCCTTAACTATCATTTAAATATTTCTGAAATATCTAAAACACATCACACTGTCCATTAGCAAACAAAAACTATATAAAAAAATCATTTCTGTGTGAAAATATTTTGCTCAAACATTAATTAATAATCTTAAAAGTAATAATAATTTAATTATAATTTTCAAAAATATTAACGTGTTATTTTGGAGTAATCTTAAATAAGTAATTTGCAACCAAAATAAAATATTTCGAAAAGAAGCTCCCCAAAACAAATAAAAATTATATTGAATGTTACAGTAGTTATGGATATCATCAATGGTGTATAATCATGATAACACCATAGAAATAGTTTTGAGTGATCATAAAATTTATTACATGTTTTTAGAAAATTGAAAATGTTTCGTAAACATAAGCGGAACTTTTCTTGCTGAGACTTTTTTTTCTCTTTGCTAATTATAAATATTTGTCTAATTAATATTCATGAAAACAAAAACTTCGTTTCTTATTTTAATCTATAGGGCCTAACATTCAACCAACCAGAATCGGAGTCAAGCAAACCTTTGCGACTCCTTCAAAATTTTCTTCGGTTCCAACTCATTGACTCTGACTCCAAATCTAAATAACAACCTTGATGGTAAATAGAATCTGAAGAATTACTGAGAGAATAACATGAGAGTAAGTTACGAAGCAATATATTATGTTTTTTTCTGTTATTACATTGCCTTATTTAAATTAATCAATCCAAGAAACTGAAGTGGTAAAGTATTATTTGTTTAAAAATTTAATTCACGTCAAACATACAC